CGTGCGTGCTGCCGTTGGAGCTCGTGGCGCTTGTATCCTTGGCGGGCCGCTTGCGATGCGAGGTCGACGCCTTGCGCGCGCCCGCCGGCTTGGCCAGCGCTGCCGGCTCAGTGGCGGCGGCCACTGCGCCAGGGCTCGCTTGCGGACCGGCGGCGGCGGCGGCGGCGGAGACTGGCGCGTGCGCGCGCGGCCGCTTGAGCGGCGCGCTCTTGCCGCTGGCGCGCTCGCGCTTGGCGCCGCCCACCGGGCGCGCGTTCGGCTGATGTTGCGCCAGCGCGTCGGCGGGCACGTTGCCCTCGCGCGGGCGCTGGTTCGGCTGCTCGGCGTCCTCGGCTGGGTCAGCGTCCTCGGCGTAGGCGTGGCCATCGTCGGGGCTACCGTCGGGGCTACCGTCGGGGCGCGAGCGCTTCCCGTGCAGCGAGCGGAGGGCAGATGCACGCCTCGGCGCCACGGAGGTCAGCCGCCAGGTTACCATCTCCACGGCGGCCGCGGTGGCGACAGCTAGCCCGCCCGTTGCGAGGGCGGTGGCGGAAGCGCCGAACGGCTGCGAAATCTCGATGTCGCGCGCGTCGCGCGCGGCCTTTGCGACGGCGGCCGCGGCGGATTCGCCACGCCGGCCAGCGGCGGACGAGGGCCTGTCGCCTCTGCTCGCCACGCGGCCGTCTGCCTGCACGCCGAGCGCGCCGACCTCAATGGGCGCAAGTGGCGCGATCCTCGTCACCAGCTCCGCGGCGGCGCCGCCGTTTGCGGTAGCCTCGCGCACGTCGGAGCCGACGCTCGACAGTTGCAGAGCCCCCTTCGCTGCAGAGCCCGGCTCGAGCGTCGGCGCCGATTCGTCAGAGTGCGCGCGCAACGAGGGCGCGCTGGTCTCGCGCGGGCCGTCCGTTTCCCCCGCCATATCGGTCTGCTCCCACGCCTCGGCCGCGACCTTGCCCCCGCTCGGCCTCGGTCGCCAACCCCCCACGCCGAGGGCAAGCGAGTTGGGCGGCGTCTCGTCAGAGGGGCCCGGCGAGGTGGAGCCACTGGCGTGCGCCGCCAGCTCCGCGGCGAGCGGCGCGGTGGCGAGCGGCATGCCACTGCGCGCCGTCTCGGTGCCCCAGTGCGAACCCCGATGTCCACGCGCACAGCTCAGCGACAGGCAAGGGTCCCAGCGCGAACCCCGATGTCCACGCGCTGGGTTCGCTCACGACAAGTCTGGTCGTTGTCGAAGGTCTCGTTTGCCGACGATTTTTTAAAAACGATTTTTCGCATAATTTTTTAAAAGCGGGGCTCGTGCTCCGAGGTCGATCTCGGCGCACCGATCTCAGAACACCAATCTCACCGAGGACGTGTTGCACGCCGGCCGCGTCCTCGGCGCCCGGCCGGGCACGATGCGCACGCTTGGCGTCCGCCCGGGCGACACGATGCGCGCCTCGCGTTTCTGCGCGGTGACGGTGCCAAATAAATCGATTTTTTTAATTCACCATGCCTGTTAATCATTCCCCTGTTGATAGACATCAAAACAATGAATGAATTCCAGCCGTATTTAAGGATCCGCACTCTGTCCTTGTACGCCTCCTTCGATCTTTAATCGGGTCCGCTCTCTCTGCTCATCATACAGGGGATCGCGGGCAATAAGAAACCGTCGTGTTGAGAAACTGAGCCTCGTTTTATAGCTTTCAATCGTAAACCAAATTTAACCATTGTTTGTATGTAAGCTGCTAAGAAACTCAGCTTCAGCCTCAAAACCCGCCGTTCTTATTGCCCGCGATCCCCTGTACGCCTTCCGCAGAGATGGTCAGCGGAAGCAGCACCAGGTTCCTCGCCCCGGCAACCAGTCGCGGCGCAACGAGGCGTGGTGGAAGTATACAAAAACACGTTCACCAGCCCACCCCAGTTGCCCCCAGCTCCTTAATTACGAATTTACGATCGATCCATCGCACGATGTTGGCGTCAATTTACGTCGGCGCTGTTGGTGCGCACCAATGCTAGGACGCTGGCGAAGAGCGTGGTCTAGCGCATCTAGGACGCAGGCGAAGAGTGTGGTCTTAGACCAACGCGCTTTTGCTCTCACACCTTCGCCCTGCCCCTGCCGAAACGCCTGTCTGCAGCCTTCTCGGCGCCCATGGCGCCGGTGCGCCACGCGTCCGCGGCGCGCGCTGCGCCCGCGATGGCCACGCTGGCCGAGATCAAGGCCGACTCGGGTGTCACCGCGTATGCGCCACGCGTCTCCACGCGCTGCCTGCATGCCTGCTCCAGGGCCGCGGTGGACACCGAGGCCCGTCGGGCACACGACATAGCTTAGCCAACGCGTTTTGCCCTACTGTCGCAGCTGGCTGCGTATTATCCGTCCTCGCTGCATCCAGACTGGACGTCGACTGAAGAATCCGACCCAGCACCGTTCCTCCGCGCGCCCCCCTCCCGATGCCGTCTTTTCACCCGTCTACCATATCGCCCACCCGCCCCGCCGTTACGCAGGCCGCTCGGCTATTTTGACCCGCTGAGTTTGATGACCAACCCGGCACAGGTGCGCATCCCGATACTTTCTAATACATACACCCGATCCACATGTATGCATGACTCAAAACCCCATTCCTATATTGTGTAGGGACTCTGGCTCCCCATTCCCACCAACTTCACCTCTACCCACTGCCTCTACCATCCCTGCTGCCAGGACTGATGTCTGACGTCGATCAAGTCTGTGAGTGAAAACCTCCGGTTGATCCGTTGAACACTGCTGAGTCGCTAATATGTATTCCTTTACTGGACACATACACAGTTGGAGAAGTACTCGCTGTACAAGGAGAGCGAGATCAAGCACGGCCGCGTCGCCATGCTCGCCGCGCCCGGCTTCCTGATTGCCGAGAAATTCCACCCGCTGTTCGGGGGCAACGTGGACGCGCCGTCCATTCTCGCCTTCCAGCAGACGCCGCTGCAGACCATCTGGCCGATCGTGCTCCTCGTGATTGGCGCCATCGAGGGCTACTCGTCGGTCTCGACCTACAAGGACCCTTCCACCGCGGCCTGGTCGATCAAGGAGGATCACCTCGCAGGCGATCTTGGCATGTTCGGCGGTGCCAAGCAGGCCAAGTCCAACCCGGCCGGCTACAAGGCGCTCGCGACCAAGGAGATCAACAACGGCCGCCTCGCCATGATGGCCATCGCCGGCATGGTCGTCCAGGAACTCGTCTTCCACGTCAAGCTGTAAGCGGCTGTCGCTCCATGCGCGGAGCTTTGGATCATCGCTAGGCTATAGTGCGCGATCTGCAATCGATGTGCGAGATGGCGCGACCACTTCGCGCTCGTCCTCGCAGGAACGGAGATGGCCAACCACTCGCAGCTGCTATTAGGATTAATGGCGCCCGCGGCCGGCCGGTCAGTATCACTCGAGAGAAGTAATTTATTAATAATAACTCATAACTAACACAGACGTAGATCTCGCCTCACCTCGCCCTCGCCCCTATCGGTAGTTGCGGCTAACACAAAGTCACTAATGACTAACTAACGCCTGCCGTCGACCAAGTCAGTGAGTGACGTTGTATACTGCGCCCCCCGAGGGGGGCGCTGCCTGGCTCGCCACCATAATGTTGCTCTTCGTCACCATGCTATTGCTTCTGTCACGTGCTGTGATGGGCGCTATTTCGCGCGGTGGCGAGCAGCCGGCTCTTAGAAAAGGCGTAACGTACGGGGATTATCCGCGGGCCCCGTGGGGCCCCGTGAGCCCCCGGGCTATGTGACAAGTTAGTTATATGTTAGTCACATAGGCGCCTCCGGCGGGGCCCCCGGGGGCCCTGCGGGGCTTTCTAAGAGCCGGGCGAGCAGTACGCGGAGACGCCGCTCAGGCCACCAAGGCTACGACGACAATGCTGCTTTCTGCGGCCGCCGCAGTGTGCGCGCTCGCAGCGTCGCGATGCTGTCCACTTGAGGTACTCGCTGGCACCTCTCGACCACCCGTCTCGCTCGGGTCCTCAAGTGGATGTGCGTTGCGCGCTTGCGGTGGGCGCTGCTGCGCGCGGCGGCGGGCCGCACACGGAGACGCCGCTCAAGGCTACCAAGGCTACGAAGACGATGCTGCTCCCTACGGCCGCCACGGCAGGGCTGCGGCGGCCGAGGCGCGGCCGAGGCGGGGCGTGGGGGCCGGGGCGCACACACTCACACCCTTTTAATTGTGTGCTGGTGCATGAGGGTTTGGGTCGATCGCTCGACCTCAGCCTAAAGTCGACCAAGCCAGTGACTGAACAACACCCGTAGAACCATGCTGAGCCGATATATACATATATAGCGGCAACCAGCAGATCATCTCCCTAAACGCCCTTGCCCGGGCACACTACCGGAGATCCATCGGCACGCGCGGTGGCGCCCAAGCCAGCGCAGCCGACTAAGGCACGCAGCAGGCAATGGGCGACGCAGCGCTCAGACCAGCACAACATTCAGAACAGTCAGACGCCAGCTTGAATCCCTGTCATAAATATATAGCGGCTCAGCATGGTTCAACAGGTGTTGTTCACTCACTGACTTGGTCGACATCAGACGTTAGTCCTGGCAGCAGGGATGGTAGTAGTAGAGGTGAGGTTGGTGGTGAACTCGTAGCAATTGCCACAGGTTCCTCCCCCCCTCCCCCCCCACACACACAACGCTCACGTCCAATTAGGTGCGTGTGCCCTGTCTGCCGCGGCCGCCGCGGCCACCGCGGCCGAGGCGTGCGCCCCGGTCGACATTGTGGCTGCACCAGTTTTTGTCACGGTACGCGCCGTCCGCGTGCGCAGGGGCGTCCTCGGGCCCGTTTGCCACAGGTCCTCCCCCCGAGTATATACATATACGAGTATATAGTTATATACATATAGCGGCTCAGCATGGTTCAACAGGTGTTTTGTCGATATACGAACTAATCACTGCAAACCGCCCAAAGGTGTGCGAGTATATACATATACGAGTATATAGTTATATACATATAGCGGCTCAGCATGGTTCAACAGGTGTTTTGTCGATATACTAACTAATCACTGCAAACCGCCCAAAGGCGTGCACCTAGAGAATTGAACTCGGGACCTCCGCACAAAATCAGGGATCCTAAACCATTAGACTAGAATCACTTTTGCACGGTCTGCGAGATTTAATAAACTCACTTAAAATTCACCTAGAAATAGAATCCTGAATCTAGATGCTTAAAATACAGAGGAATTAGAACGGCGAATTTAAGGCTGAGGCTCAGTTTCTTAACAAAATACATACAAGCTATGGTTAAAATTTGCTTAAATTACTATTATAGGGCACACAAAATGAGGCTCAGTTTCTTAACGTTACGGTTTCTTATTGCCCGCGACCCCCTGTAGAGCTAGACTCCCTTAATTAGACTCACAAGACTTAGAGTTAGTAAATTAGAGGGACTGAATTGAGTCTGACTCTCTATATGTAACTAAAGACAGACTGATATTTGTTTCCAAAGATAATTTTAAGATACACTGAGGGAAGAACAGTCGCCATTAACTTCAGCTAGAGGTATCTCTAATATCATTTGTCACACCGTCAGCCATAAAACCCCCTGAATTATTAGAAGAACTTAATTTTTTAAAAAATGGATATTTTATGGGACGGGGATGGGACGGGGACGGAGGCGCAGCATAAGGCGCAAAAAGAAGTCTAAATTCTCAACTGCCTATTGTAAAGATCGCCTTGATGAAGGCCTCTAGAGAAGTATTCCTGAGGGAAAAAACACAACCAAAAATTGACTCCTGTGGACGGCTCGAAAGGCGAATCCGTGGGCTCGAAAAAAGATTTAATCCCACCAAGGATCCAATTTAGACATCTGAGGATCCGATCCGACGCATGATCCAAAACTCGACATCTAAGGATCCGACCCAAAGCAGGATCCAAAACTAGACATCTAAGGATCTGATCCGAAGCAGGATTCAAATTGGCCGACTGAGGATCCAACACGAAGCAGGATTCAAGATTTAAAGACATCTGAGGATCCGACCCGAAACAGGATCCAAATTAGACATCTGGGGATCCAACACCACGAGGCAGGATCTGTTAGGATGCGAGAGTGCGAGGTCTGCAGCGAGAGCTAGGAGGGATCGAGTCCGAGTCGCGGTGAAGCGGCTAGGGAGAGAGCAGGAACAGCTAAGAAGCGTAGGGCGATACGACACAGAGCATGTGGTCTGAAGCTGTGTCACAAGTTCTCTTAGTAAGTAAGAGACCCTAACAAGAGCGCTGAAGAGGCGTCAAGAGCAGCCGTAGACGATTTGAGACGGCAGCTGGGCCCGGGATATTAAAATCTGGGAAGTCCGATGGCGAACCGGACAGAGCCAAAGTGTATGAATTACTTGGGCTCCCGACACCCTCCCTCAATCTTGACGCCATCACGTTCAGGTTGAAGGAACTGTTACAGCTTGAGCTTGTGGTCGGTGAAAACCACCCCCTTAAGGAGGGGAAAACCGATGGTGGCCGTCTACATGCCGAGGAGCGTGCGGCGGTGTCGAAGGAAGAGCTTAGGACCAGGGGCTTGGTCATGATGTCGGCGACGTTGTCGAGACCGCTGATGAAAAACAGCTTGATGGTGCCGTTCTTAACGAGGTCGCGGATCCAGTGGAATTTGATGTCCACGTGCTTGGTCCGGCGGTGCACGATGTCGTTCTTGGACAAGTTGATGCACGAAACGTTGTCCTCGCCGACGGGCGTGGCAGTAGATTGCGGGAAGCCGAGGTCGGCGAGGAGCTGGCGCATTGCGATGATCTCCTTGGAGACGGAGGTGACCGCGACGTACTCAGCCTCAGTCGAGCTGAGCGTGACGACGCTCTGCTTCTCGCGCCGGGCTGAGACAGTGCCGCCTCCCACCTGCGTGATAAAGCCGGAGACGGACTTGCGCGTGTCGGTGCAGTTGGCGTAGTCAGCGTCGACGAAGGCGGTGAAGTTGAGCTCGACGTTGGCCTTGAAGTTGAGGCCGAGGTCGGACGTCCCAGCGAGGTAGCGGAGGATGCGCTTGGCCGCGGTCATGTGCGGCTCGCCGGGGCGGCTCATAAAGTGCGTGAGCGTGCCCATGGCGTACATGATGTCCGGGCGGAAGTGCGAGACGTGGATGAGTGCGCCAACGATTGAGCGGTACTCCGTGGCGCCGTCTTGGTCGAGGAGCTCCGAGTCCGAGGAGATGGTGAGGTGCAGGCCTTCTGCCATCGGCGTGTCAACGGGGTGCGCGTTCAGCATGCCGGTCCGCTCTAAGAGCTCGAGGATGGCGCGCGAGATGGTCACCTTGATGCCGAGGTCGGAGCGCGTCAGCTTCATGGACAGGAAGGAGTCGATGTCGTCGCTGAGCTTTGTCTTGAAGGCTGTGGTGATCGAGGTGAGGAACTTGTCACAGACGTCGGGTTTGAGCGAGAAGTCGGCGATCAAGAGGTCGTCGACGTAGATACCGAGCGATAAGTGGTCGTCGTCATGGTGAAGTGTGTACACGCACGGGTCCTGGCGCGACTACGTGAAGCCGTAGTCGATGAGCCAGTTGTCGATCATCTGCCGCCAGTTGCGGCCGGACTGCTTGAGCCCGTAGAGCGCTTTGAGAAGTTTGAGAACGATGTCGCCCTTGCCTTTGATCTTGTACGAGTAGGGAGGGTCGACGTAGATGTCGTAGTCGGGGGGCGCATTGAGGTACGCCGTCTTGAAGTCAAGGTGG